ATGGGTTCAATATTATGGTGTAACAACAGCGACATGGCCTACTCCTCAAAACATGAAACGACCCTATTCAAGGCTGTGCTCTAAGGAAAATTTCAGGGAGCCCTTTGGGCTCCCAAGCATTTTAGCTAAGGTGCCCAGAACTCAAAGTTGGTTGCCTGAATAAAAATTTTGGGGAGCCCTTCGGGCTCCCAAACATTCAAGCTAGGGTGCCCAGGGCTTCAAGTTGGTCGACCACCTGGGTACATCTGACAAAGAAGTATTTTGTACGCACACTAATTTTACTGGCCTGTTGATCACCAAACTTGGTAATTTTAGCTTTTGGGTGTGACAAAAACCCACATATTATCATATGAAACCCATCAAAGTTTTCGTAGCCTGCGAGCAAGCATTTCTGCACGAGTGCGTCAAGAAAGTTGGGACGAGAGCAAAAAAAAGGAGTGCTGCCGAATTGGAGTTCACGCGGCAGATCAAACTCATACCCAGATCCTCTCACTCTTTATCTTGGCCACCATTTTGAATAAATTTCCACTCTCCATGGACAAATCAGTCACGTGATTTCTGCTGTGTGCCAGGGTCTTCTCTCCTGCGGCCACCATTTTGGAAAGCGAGAAGACCCTGGGGACAAGGTTGGAAGAACACCGCTGAACATCGACGCGCGCCCGTTTGTTTCGTACAAAAAACATTTTCTGTGGAGTTTAGTGAACTCTGACTTAACAAACCAACACCAATATGTTAAATTTTTTGCTTGCTTAACTAGACACTGTATTAGAAGCGAGAATGCCCGGCTGGGCGACTGGGAATTTTTTCTCACTCGCCTGAAGCTAAATGTTAGTCGCCTCAGGCAACCGGGCGCCATTAGAGCACATCCTTGCCTATTTGAAATTCTGGCCAGGGACATTCATACCACCTCCCCCCCACCCCACTCAAAGAGGGCCTCATCTAAAGCATCACATTATCAACATTGATTGGATGATTATTTATTAGGCCCAATTTTCATTTGGTTTTCAACCTACATTAGGAATATTCGATAATAAATGTCAAAAAATAGAGAAGAATTGAAAGCATTATCTCATCCACAAGGAAAAATGCCAATTATTTAAGGCATCACTGCATGGGCCGACTACTTTTAAGTTCTATAGCTGCATTGAAATACTGAACAAGTAATGCATGAATCAGCTACTATTTTTTAAAAGGCTCATACCAGTCAGTTCCAAGCATGCCCAGACCACATCGTTAATAATAATAAAAATTTAATCATTTATATTGCGCAGGTATTCATAAAAATGATCAAATGAACATTACATTAGTAATAAAAGCAATATCAATGAGAGAACTACGTATTAACTAGATTTTATTAATACCTATCTTTTTTATTTTCAAAGCTATTTAAAAAGGTGAAAGATAAACAAACAACTGACTAGATTAACATTTTTTCATCACGATGGAAACGTTCTGTCAAAGTCTATATTAGCCTTCTATATCTTGCAGAGTTTTTCAAAAAAACTGTTTTTTCCTTTAAATTCTTCAAATGATGTATATTGTTTTTCCTTATAATTTGAGCAAACTGATCTTGATGGCAGGAAGCAATTTCTTACACGGATGCAAAAAATACTGTCAGGTAGGATGGTGAGGGATGTAGAAAAACCACATGTATCTTTTAAAGCATATAATTGTATTAAAATTATTCTTTATGTATCTATACATAGCTATCTAAACAGGCACATTTTTAAGTGATATATTGAAAAAGGAGTAATGTCAATCACTTCCAGAAGAATTGACAAATGCCCCACCCCCAAGCAGAGGTTTTCTGACAAATTCCCCACTGCCAGGACTGACAAGATGACAAATTCCTGACAAATCCCCACGGGGGATGGGCACGCTTAGAATTGACTGAGCCATTATCATTATCATTTGAAGCAAATTTTTGTTTCTTTTCATTGGCCAAGAGCCCACCATGTGACCTGCAAACAACTGCCTACAAATAATGGTCTGCTCATGCGCAATGTTGTCTACCTGTGTTTGAAATTGGCAAACAATCTATTCAATATAGAGGACCAACAATTTGGACATTTCTGAATAGATTAATTAATATAAATGAGACGATAAGTAAAGACAATTTCAAGCAAATTTTACGTAGATTTTCCAAGGACATTAATAATTTCTCATTTAGAGCTCCTACAATAGCTAACAAACACAATGACTATGTATATTTTTAACTTGATTTTATTCATACATTTTACATCATCTTACTTTTTATTTAACTTATTTTAGATGCAGGTCCTCATCAGCCTTTCGCTGCCATTTTTATGTAACTTAACCTGCTTTATCAAATAAATGTATGTATGTATGTGTGTATGTATGTAAACCACGCTTTTCTCCTTGCGTGAAAATGGCAGATCGCTTTGCTTCCCAAGGATATACATGGTGATCAAATGATAAAACAATTATTGAACTCAGTTATCGCAAAATATCGTGATTTGTCACTGTCTAGCCTGTGTACAGACCCCCCTTCCCTCAGGAAAAATCAAAGAACAGGCGTCTGTGATTCACCGTCACTAATCATGTATGGGAATAATTTTACATAAATAAAAAATAGTTTCTGCTGACCAAAAATTCTGTGGCTCATGTTTCCTGTCATTCCAGTTCTCAAAATGTCGGTGCATGCAACTTATTCTCATTGAGCAATTGAGAGAGAGAGAGAGATTTTTAAAATTGGTTTACTTAATACCGAGCAAGAAAAATGTTCTTGCAAGCCCATATTATTGAAGGAAAAGATCCATGATCTTATGCAAGCCTTCCCACTGGATACGGAAAGTCATTAGTTTGAAATAAAGTGTTGACAGGTCAGACACGACTCATAAGCTCGTGATAGTGTGAAACATGCCCTTAGAGTTAGTTTGAGTAACAGAGGTTTTCCTTAGAGCTTTTCTTTCCAGCATGTGGCTAGATTTTGCATCATAGTGCATTGAGTAACATGTTTTGACGACAGGCCCTAAAGCCAATCAAAATCCCTCATTTACATGATGTAGTGATCTACGAATAACAGCCAATCAAATCAGTTTCCACACATTCCGGGAACAATCACGTGGCCTCCACACACGAATAGCAACAGTGAATCACAGATGCCCCTTCTCCAGTTTTTCCTCAGAGGAGGGAGGTCTGTACACAGGATATCACTGTCTCGCAGATCAGTTATTTGCCTCAGCCGACTCTCCACTTGCAAATCACGATATTTTGCTCAACTTCATCCAATAATTGTTAATTATTTTATACATAATTGTCATGATTGTTTACATTTGAAGTTTGATGACAAGTTCAATTGATGTGATGGCAACTGCAATAACTGACAAATGCTAACAAAGATTTTAAAAGGAACTCGTTAAATTTTGGCGGAGATTTAATTGTAATACCCTAGCCTGAATTTTCGTTCGCGTGACCGATTTAGCAAAGATTGCAAGTGACGTCACGGCGGCCATATATTTAGTGATCAATTTCATGCAAACTCCGCGAAAAACCATTGTAATGTTTTGAACAGTAACATGACTGCCTTTTAATGCACACGAAAATCAAGAATATGAACAGATAATACGAATAGATTCGGAATTAATAAAGAAAAGCAGACAACTTACCTGTTCCCGACTTCTTGAACTACATTTGTTTCAACTCAATTTAAGCTTACTGACTCTTTCAAGCCCGTAGTCTTTCAAAGTCTGCAAGTCTTCTCCACAGGCCGAGTTCTTTCCTAAGGAGGACAGTGATCGTTAAAACTGTATCAACTCAATTGCTAATTCATCCAGTGGGTATAAAGAAACTGAAACGATCATGGAATGCAGGATAGAGGGAATAACGTTTCGAGAATGTACCACGCAAAGCGGAAGTGAGTAAAGTAAAATCTTGTGGTGGCTATCAGTTGTTACCCCTCCAAAGCGCAAACAATGCAGTTATTTCAATTAAAAGGATGCAAACTAACCTTGCTGTCGATTGCTGCCAAGAACAAGTTGATGTTTTATCCCGAAATGTATAAACTACATCCCCAAGACTTGCACCGACTTGCACACCAGAGGGGAATGTCCCAGAAATCCATGCGGGAAATAAAAGACTTGCCCGGAGGGGGTTAGGCTTTAGTTAATAGGCTCAGTCTCCGGTCTGGGCCCGCGATACTTCCCACCCGAGGGTTGATTTGACGCATGCACTGCACTCTCTCTCGTATACCTTCACGGGCCGATGACGAAATCGAATTGAAAATTAAACGAGATTAGATTTGGATTCTATGAGTCATGAGCCGGGAGTTTTAGGAGCTGTCGGTTGGGGAGTAACGCGGGCGCATCGAGACACTCAAGGCTATTTGAGACTGAGCGGCATGTGCCTAACCCTAGACCCCAAACAATACTGAAACAATTGAAAGAATGACATGTCATTGTTTTCTGCGACCAATCAGGAGAGACCTTACGAGCAGCTCCTACACAACTGAACTGAGCCTAGGAGGGGGTGAGAATCCTCCTTTTCTCTTAAAATCCGTCCAATTCTTATTCCAGCCAGAGATGGCGTTACAATAAGAGATTTAATAGGACGAGACGAGAAAACACGTGGGCGAGGAAAGAGAAAAGTCTCTACAAGAAATTGCAAGGGGGAATACGTGAAAACCCGTTGCCTGGGTAACGAGCGTTTCCTATCGAGTGACGAGTATTGCGTGAAAGAGACGAACGAGGAAAAGAGGAAACAGAGAAATATCATGGCGCATTTTATAGAATCGTGGGGTTTGCGGGGAAGCGTTTCCTCTTTTTCCCTCCACCTCCCCCTTCATTCCTCTTTTCATGGTTGCTCTCTCTCTCTCCAACTTTCGCACAATAACTCGATCGGAATTAACGTCAGTCCCTAGCCTGTATACTGTACAGCCGCCTCTTGCTACGTAGCCTGTTCGGATCATTATACGTTTCAGGGAAACTGCCCACCTACCCCTCCCCTAAGCCAACATCTACACTTACTTCTCACTTAGGGCAAAATGTTGGCTTAGGGGAGGGGTAGGTAGAAAGTACAACCTCGTTCCCAGGTCGCTTTTTCCTGGGTTTGGAGGTGGGCGCTCCATCTGAAAAGCCAGAGAAAAGCGACCTGGGGACAAGGTTGTACTTGCTACGCAGACCATGAGCCGACAATTACAGATCGGGGGAGGGGGGGTGGTACTCGATCAATATTTGGGTATAGGTGAGCCGATGAGGGTTTCAAACCCTTACCCTTGTTAGGAAAAAAAAATCCTTAAATACACACCCTGCAGTAGGACAACGCCCTCAATTTTATTACCCTGTTTAGAACAGAGAACAAAATGCAGGCCGTATTGTTTTAAAGCCATTTATTGGCAATTGCTATAGTCCAAATCACGTTATAGTCATTGCTGTTGCATACTTGGAGTACAAATAAAATTAACGCAACAAATCAAATCAATCGTTCAGGTAATACCCTTTTGATAGACTCACAGGAAATTATAAATCCTTTTTAGGACAGATCAGACTCACACGAAATTGTATACTCTGTTTAGGACAGAGAGGTAAAAAACCATACCCGCTCCAGCGGCTCATTCCCGTATAGACCACTAACAGGGAGTACCCTCCACCCCCGTCTTCAATGGCCACGGGGAGTCAGGGATTTGACCTAACAGCGTTTTGCACCAGGATCCCAATTTGGATGGTGGCGTTTACGGTATTCGGTTACGTTCTCTCACGGTTAACAGACTGATTTGAAAAAAAATTCAGTTATTTTAATTTTAAAACGTTTTCAACGGTCTTCTCGGGATGGAAAAAAGCCACGAGACAAGCAACCTCGTGCCCAGCATCCTCTCGCACTCGTACCCGGGGAAAAGACTACGGAGGGTATTAAATAGTATGTCCTTGTTGATACCCACACTGGCAGACACCTTTGATTACACTGACGGCTTTTGAGGAGCAAAAAATCTACTTTCATTTTTTTTTTTTCACCGCAGCATTGCGTTCGCAAAAATACCGTAAAATTCCGAAAATAAGCCCCTCCGTGTATAACCCCCTCCAACGAAGCCCCCCAAACTCGTAACGCAAAAAAACTCTCCGTTAACGCACCCCTCCAAATATAAGCCCCCCCGGGGGGGGGGGCTTGTACTTGGCAATTGCCCTCAAATACAAAGTAATGCAAAGCAAAAAAGGTAAATTTCCTTTCAACTATTAGGCTAGCACAATCGATTTTTGAAACGCAAATTTCCCTCCATAGATAAGCCCCTCCGAATATAAGCCCCTCCAAAAATAAGCCCCTCAAAAAGGGCCTTTGAAAAATATTAGCCCCGTGGCTCATTTTCGGAATTTTACGGTATCGTTGTCAGTCATATACAGAACAATTCCCAGAACAAAATCGTACTAAGAATATGCAGAAACTGTCCAACAATTTATTATACCACAAATTAACAACATCTCAAAGACAATAGTTATTGATTATGATACGTAACGTAAGTTTTTGGGAATTTGCATATTACTTGTTAATACCAAGTCATTCAATGATACTTTTCGGAGGATCTTAAAATTTAAAACGTAGCTATTGTCTATGATACTGATTGTAAGTTTTTCAGGGGTTAAGCCAGCCATTTTTTCCTTTTAAGCTCCTAGGCCCAGTTCTTCGAAGGCCGATTAGCGCTTAACCCATGGTTCATTTTAAACCAGGTTCCATTTTCTGTTGTTCAAAAGCATTTTCTCGGATAATTTCTCTGTTATTTTTAAGAGCATCCAATCATCAACTTGTGGACAAAAAGAATTAAACTGAATTTACTTTTTAAGCTCTCATATCTGAATTCAAATTTCGAACTAACCTTGGGTTATCTTAACCCAGCTTTGAACAACCCGCCCTGTTGTAGAATTCCTAAAAGAGAGGGGGGAGAGGGAGGAGGTGAGGGCATAGAAGCAAGCTAAGTTAACGGTTACCTTTAGTTAAGACAATACAGCACAGTTCGCTTTTGCAGTTAAAACTGTTGCGTTAAATAAGTAATTAAATAGCATAACAGTGAGTTAATACTTATGTACACCAACAATAAAACTATACGATTCTAGCAGGTAATCACATTAAACAAAGTGGGCCAATGTCCATCACCGCGACAGACATTGCTATCTGTGTTAGGTGCAATTTCACTCTCTGTTATTAACTTTCGATTAGGGAAGGTAGGTTTTTAATTAGGGGGGGGGAGGGGGGGAGGCTTCAGAGTGGTGGGTCATCAAAAAGCAAAAATGGGACCCTTGGCGAGGGTCAACCCTTATTATAAAAACTATTAGGGGAGAGTCAACGCTTTTTTTTCACAGTGGTTTGTGAAAATGTGTTCAGCTACCACACTGATGTCATTCTTTCGTATTTTAAAGCTTCGTACCAGTCCTTTCTATTGAACGGGAACTTGTAATTACTCAAGATTCCTGTTAAACAGCAGTTTTATTACAGTTCATTCATTAGATTCATTCACTCTTTCTGTCTTTCTTTTTTCTTCTTGTTCTGCCATGGCACGTAACTGTCTCGGACGCCAGACGACCCGTGTTCTCTTTCGGCCGTACCTTGACGTTGATGTGTCCACTGTATGCAGTACAGGGCTGTCATTTATATCGCTCAATTCTCTTGATGATGTTGACAATGTTTCAGAGCCTACAATCCTTTCCTCTTCATCACTTTCTGAGCCCAAAGTTGACGTTTCTTCACACATTGGAGTCCCTTTCTCCATGCCTGATAAGATCCTGCTAGCGACATGTACTTTATATATGCCACTTGCTCCGGCTTTTTCCCCTTAAACACGATTCCATGTTCATGAACTTTCCACGACGATATTTGGTCAGAAGTATACAATTGTTCCAACCACTGCGTTTGCTGCCTTTCACTTTCAGTTTTTCGCTTTATCCTTACGCATTTCAATTTGAGCAAGGTGATCAACATAGTCCTTCCTCACAAACTTCTGCGGGACAATACAGTTCCGAGAGAATTCAGCTTTTGTCTCGTCGTCTCCTGGATTTAATTTGTTTTGGTGGAACACTCTTTTCATTTGAGCTTGGGGCTGAAAATCATCAGGTTCACGACCATCGATAGATGTTGCTGATAGTGGTAGATAATGGTAATCAGGAAGCTTGTCATAGTCAGGGAAGGATCGTATAGTTGCCTCTACGACCCAGCCCTCCCCCTTATTAAAAATGTACCTTCCCTTATATACGCTCATTTTAACCCAAATTTTTTTTAACCCGGGCTTAATGGCTTAAAGGAAGCTACGCCCCTGTTCTAAGATTTTTCCGTTCACTTGCTGACTAATTTGTTTTAATAATACTGACAAAAAACTCTACAACTATCGTCCTTACTGGTCATGATGCCGGATACTAAACCAGCTGACTAAATATATCACTTCTTAAGGTTCTGTTTTACTAAGTGCTAGTTCTAAGCCATTTAATGACTGCAATAAAAAAATATGACTTAAGCTATTGCTCACGATACTGAATGTAAGCTCTTGGGTTTTCCTTTTCCCTTGCTAAACTACAGTCATAAAATACTGACAAAACTCTACAATAATCAACCTTAGCAATACAGGTCAGGATGATGCACTTGGAGTGCTAATTCGATCTAAGCTATTTAATGACACCAATAAAAATATAGAACTGTTTAAATATAGAACTTTTGCTTATGATACTAAAAGTAGGTTCTTAGGTTTTCCTTTTCACTTGCTAAACTGAGTCATTTACTTTGATACCAACGAAAAGCTCTACAACTATCATCTTTCAGCTACTGGTCAATCATGATACCTGATACTGAACATCACTTCTTTAGTGCTGGTTCCAAGCGATTTAGAGACACCACTAAAAAACTTTTCAAATGTAAAACTTAAGCTATTGCTCATGACACTACACGTAAGTTTTAAGGTGTTTCTATTCACTGACTAAATTAAGTCATATAATACCGACACAAAAAACTGCAATTATCAACCTTAAGCGACAGCTCATGTTAATACACTTGGAGTGCTTATTTTAAGCCATTTTATGACACCAATAAAAGTAAAGAACTCTTCAAATACAAAACTTAAACTATTACTTACGATACTGAATGTAAGTTCTTAGGTTCTCCTTTTCATTTGCTAAACTAATAATTACCACCAAAAAAATCTGCAATTAACAACCTTAAGTTACAGGACGTAATGATGAAATAAGAGTGCTAATTCGATCTAAGCCATTTAATGACACCAATAAGAATAAAGAACTCTTGAAATATGAAACTTAAGTTATTGCTTATGATACTAAAAGTAAGTTCTTGGGTGTTTCTTTTAACTCGCTAAACTAAGTCATTTTATTACGACAAAAAACTCTAGTCTTCAGTTATCAACCTTCAGCGACAGGTCATGATGATACTGAACATCATTTCTTTAGGTTTCTTGTTTGACTTGCTAATTGTAGAAGCTATTTCATATAAAAAACTTAAGTAAGGCGTCAACAACCCTCGGATCGGACCGCCGGAATTGAATAAACCGCAGTAACTCACTAAATAACAAAAGGTTAGGGATAGAGTGACCAACGTTGATCCTGAGTCCGGTCCAATCCAGATTTTCTATTGCCAATAAAACTGAACACTAGTTCTGTTGTTCCTCTGTATTCAATGCCCATACTAAGCCTGCTAACGATGCTGAATCAGTTCTTACGATTTTTGTACTAAATCTAAACTCTTCAAATACAAATTAACTAAAGCTATTGCTTATAACTCAAGAAAAGACATGCATGATGTACGGTTAGAAATAGTGTTAAAGGGGTTTAACCGACCCGGTCCGATCCAGGTTTAGTCAACGGTCCTTTAAATATAAAAGTAAAGCTATTTCTTATGAAACTGAACATTAAGTTCTGTTTTTCTGTCCTACTTACTAATACTAAGCCTTGAACTAACAGAAAAATCTTCAAGTACAAACGGTAAGCTATTGATAATGATACTAAATCAGTTCTTATGATTTTTGCGCTAATGCATCAGTCAATTCCACCTGCGCCCAGGCCCCCCCCGGGCTGACCCCCGGGAATTAGCCTTTTTTTTCCTTGGATGGCAAATTCCCGGGGGTGGGGACTCTTGAGCTGGCAAAACCCCCGGGGTGGGGAAGAAAAAAGAGGGCAAATGCCCCGTCCTTCGTCAACAGTGCAACATTTTTTATTGATCGCACAGTCCAATAGTGCCATTTTAAAGTGCGATTTTTTGTTTCAATTCACGTCTTCCTCTGTAATAGCGCTAGGATTCTAATTAAGACTTCACTCCGCGACGACATGCACCAGTTTATGGTTTTAGTATTGATATAAAATTATTGACATTAAAACTAATAGAGCGCTGTAAAGTTAAATGCTATGAATAGTTTTATAAATATGAAAGGACTGACAGGGTGTTCTTCAAATAATATCAACAGAAATTTTGATTCAATAACCAAAAAACGTTGATTCACATCGATAGCTCCAATTTCGCTACGTAATTTTGGCGTGATAAGCAATGAAGAATTACATACATACATGTAAAATAGAGAACATGCCTTTACAACCCTCTACAATTTATTCCTGTCCTTGACAGATGAGCCAATCTGCTTTTTTTTTCCAGTAAAACCTTCTGTGTAGTTATATTCTGATAGGAAACCGCGTGCGTGTCAAAAGCTCGGGAATGGCCCGGAGGTTGGCAAATGCCCGGCCCCCGGGTAGTGCAAAATTTGCAAATGCCCCACCCCCGGGACTGACAAGGCGGGCAAATGCCCCGCAGTAGCCCGGGGGGGGGGGCTGGGCGCAGGAGGAATTGACTGATGCATAAATCAAATATAAAAATGATTATATGTACTGAACACATGTTATAGTGCTGTTCTGTCTTGTATACTTGAGTTGCTAATACTAAGGCCTAGAATCCTCCTCTTCTAAAATATACCTTGAACCTTGCTTTCGAAACTCGGATTAGAACATTAACTTCAGGTTCTCCGTTTTACTAGCAACTAAGAAAATGTCAAATCTAAAAAGAAGCTTCTTCATGTAAAAACGAGAAGCTGTTACTTCAGTCAAAATGATGTTAACAAAAAACTATATTTCAACCATAAACTTTACAATAAACTGATCACAAACTTACAAAATGAACCTACATAGTTCTTTAACACTACTCTGTTTTAATCGCTAACATAGTCATTTAACAGCACCAAAAGGAAATTCTTAAAAATATTCCTTAATCTGTTGTGATTATGATACTGTACATGTTTTCTGTAAGTTTGCTTTACAAATTTTAATTCACCCAATGTTAATAGAACCTCTCCAAATGTAAACCTTAAGCTATTGCTTACGATACTCTGTATCAGTTCTAGAGGTTTTCTGGTTTCCTTGCTAATAATTACTGTAAATCTTTAAACGATGTTAAAACGTTGCTAAAAGATGAATATTTAATTAAAAGGGTAAACATACTGTTGATGGCGTACTTTTCGAAGCTTTTCCATTTTTAAGGGCTTTTTTTTACAGCGTGTTGTTCAATCCACCTCCTGTCAATGTGTCAATAAAAGACTGGCCGCTCACGTACCATTCCTGGATACTGAACGTACATCCATCATAAATGTTTAGGATCCAAACTGCAAGATTAATAAGTACGTGTTATAACATCAAAACCATTTTGCAATAAAGTAAGACGAAAAACACTACCACAACCATCAATAAAAAAAAAATAGAAACAAACTTATTGAGTTCTACTTACTAGGCACAAGTACTGGTAGATCCACAACTAAAAAAATATAAAAAATAAAACGGTTCTGAATAGAATAGACAGAGGTATATAAAAATTCGTAGTTAAAAGATACATTCTAAAAGTACAAAAGAATATCAAGTACATCTACCATAATTGTGAGAGACTGTTAGCAGTAACAGTTCTGTTCAGTTCAATTTAACTGAGTCAGCTGCCACTAGAGTCTTTCCGATGTAAAAATCCCGTATTATAATCCTGGTTATATGCCTACCCGTTTGCTATTAAAATAATGTTCTGGTTACACGCTGATTCCTGATCATTGGTAAGCACATAACGGTTCCTCAGCAGCAATTTTTTTGCAACGAAACTCCACTTAATTTACTAAAACGTTTTACAATTTCAGTTCAGTTCAGTTTTATTTAGCCAAAGTAAATTACAATGCAAAATACACATAAGAATTGTTAGTTGGCAAGGGAGCCCAGAAGAAACCAGAAGGCCTATGAAGCCTGGTCTCCCCAGTCACAAAGAAATAAGGAAAATGGTCAATCAATCACAGTTGGAATGGGAGAGAACAGAGAACCTTGCACTCACAATTCGTTGCCAGGTCGACACACTGCGGCGCAACTTTTGTCTCAAAGTGTTGAGCTTTCGGAAACTGCAAAACATTAAAAGACGATGAATCAGTTTCTCAGTTGATGTATACAAATAATACTATCGAAACTATAAAGGCCACTTATTTGTGATTGCTTCAGTGAAAATTTCCTGGATACTATGGAAAGGGATAACTGAATGCAAATACCAAAAGCAATAGACAATACTTAATTTCCGCATGCAATCAGAAAGTACCTACTTATGTAAGGATCTGAAATCCCACTAAATTCATTAGTGGTCCCAGATAACAAAGGAAGACGGAACAATTATTACATCTCTGTTAATTAAACAAGATCTATGTTATCTACCAAATCTGCAAGAATATTTGAAAACTGAGAATAAAGCTACTGGCAAAGTTTTTAAAGGTTCACAAAGTTTCTGGAGCTGAGGAATCTCGCTGGAGAAGGAAATACAGTAGAACCTCTGTCAACCCTATATAAGCTCCAATATCGACATACAAATTCTCTACACCGATCTCCATAAATTTCCTTAGAGAATTAGTTGAGACAACTTGATAACAGATCAAAGCATCTTCCCTCAGATGATCATTTCATCACTTCTCAAAACGCGTTCTTATGATGATGTACTGATATTGTTGGGGAAAAATTGAGATTTAAATTTCCTTAAACAATTAGTCGAGAGAATCTGGTTAAAGATCAAAGCATTTTCTCTTAGGTGATCATTTCATCACTTCTCGTAACGTTTTTTTATGATGATGTATTGATATTGTTAGGGGATACTAGAGATAGGTCACCCTTGAGACTTGAAGGGTAAAGAGGCCAGCGGCCAGCCTCAGGGAAGGGACAAGTGGTCACTTAATAAAGGTACTTTTTACAGTGATCTACTGACAGCTTTGTCTGCAGGGAATCTAGCAACAGGCCGCTAAATAGAGTGGTTGCTTAATAAAGGTACTTTTTACAGTGATTTACTGACAGCTTTGTCTGCAGGGAATCTTGTAACAGGCCGCTAAATAGAGTGGCTGCTTAATAAAGGTACTTTTTACAGTCATTTACTGACAGCTTTGTTGGCAGGGAATCTTGTAACAGGCCACTAAATAGAGTGGCTGCTTAATAGAGGTACTTTTTACAGTGATTTACTGACAGCTTTGTTTGCAGGGAATCTTGTAACAGGCCGCTGAATAGAGTGGTTGCTTAATAAAGGTACTTTTTACAGTGATTTACGCACAGCTTTGTTCGCAGGGAATCTTGTAACAGGCCGCTAAATAGAGTGGCTGCTTAATAAAGGTACTTTTTACAGTGATTTACAGACAGCTTTGTCTGCAGGGAATCTTGTAACAGGCCGCTAAATAGAGTGGCTGCTTAATAAAGGTACTTTTTACAGTGATTTACTGACAGCTTTGTTCGCAGGGAATCTTGTAACAGGCCGCTAAATAGAGTGGCTGCTTAATAAAGGTACTTTTTACAGTGATTTACTGACAGCTTTGTCTGCAGGGAATCTTGTAACAGGCCGCTAAATAGAGTGGTTGCTTAATAAAGGTACTTTTTACACTGATTTACGGACAGCTTTGTTCGCAGGGAATCTTGTAACAGGCCGCTAAATAGAGTGGCTGCTTAATAAAGGTACTTTTTACAGTGCTTTACAGACAGCTTTGTCTGCAGGGAATCTTGTAACAGGCCGCTAAATAGAGTGGCTGCTTAATAAAGGTACTTTTTACAGTGATTTACTGACAGCTTTGTCTGCAGGGAATCTTGTAACAGGCCGCTAAATAGAGTGGCTGCTTAATAAAGGTACTTTTTACAGTGATTTACAGACAGCTTTGTCTGCAGGGAATCTTGTAACAGGCCGCTAAATAGAGTGGCTGCTTAATAAAGGTACTTTTTACAGTGATTTACAGACAGCTTTGTCTGCAGGGAATCTTGTAACAGGCCGCTAAATAGAGTGGCTGCTTAATAAAGGTACTTTTTACAGTGATTTACAGACAGCTTTGTCTGCAGGGAATCTTGTAACAGGCCGCTAAATAGAGTGGCTGCTTCATAAAGGTACTTTTTACGGTGATTTACTGACAGCTTTGTCTGCAGGGAATCTTGTAACAGGCCGCTAAATAGAGTGGCTGCTTAATAGAGGTACTTTTTACAGTGATTTACTGACAGCTTTGTTCGCAGGGAATCTTGTAACAGGCAACTAAATAGAGTGGCTGCTTAATAAAGGTACTTTTTACAGTGATTTACTGACAGCTTTGTCTGCAGGGAATCTTGTAACAGGCCGCTAAATAGAGTGGCTGCTTAATAAAGGTACTATTTACAGTGATTTACGGACAGCTTTGTTCGCAGGGAATCTTGTAACAGGCCGCTAAATAGAGTGGCAGCTTAATAAAGGTACTTTTTACAGTGATTTACTGACAACTTTGTTCGCAGGGAATCTTGTAACAGGCCACTAAATAGAGTGGCTACTTAATAGAGGTACTTTTTACAGTGATTTACTGACAGCTTTGTTCGCAGGGAATCTTGTAACAGGCCACTAAATAGAGTGGCTACTTAATAGAGGTACTTTTTACAGTGATTTACTGACAGCTTTGTTCGCAGGGAATCTTGTAACAGGCCGGTAAATAGAGTGGCTGCTTAATAAAGGTACTTTTTACAGTGATTTACTGACAGCTTTGTTCGCAGGGACAAGTGGCCGCCTAATAAAGGTACTTCTTACAGCTTTGTTCGCAGGGAATCTAGTAACAGGCTGCTAAATAGAGTGGCTGCTTAATAGAGGCTCGACCCCACTAATATCCACAAACTGCACTATCCTTCACACAAGCTCCTTTTTGGGAACTAATATTGTCAATTTAACGTAGGTGTGATCTGTCGACGCTACGTAAACTTAGCAATTCTTCGACTAACGATAAGGAAAAAAACGCATTGCTCACCTTTTGCTTCCCGGTTTACTTTGTCTCGCAGCTGTTTTACTTGGATAACTGCGTACATACATTTGGAGTCCTTAAGGCCAATAGCGATCAAACCCTTTTGTGGACAGGAAGCCAGACACCGGTACGGTTTAAAATCTATATCAAGAACAGTTAGGAAATCCCCAGTGCTAACATTAAACAACGGAAGACAATAACTCCCTAAAGTATTCTCGCAGACGATAACACATTCCGTCTTACTTACAAAGGCAAAGTCAACGATACTGTCAACGGTACATAGCGTCCGGAGATACCCTCCTGAAGATGCTTCCAGCACAAGTACTTCTGTCTTCGACTCAGAGAAAAGGACAAACTCCTCTGTTGGAGAAAACATCGCAGGTGGTGCGTGATATGGACGAATTGATTCCACAGTTCTCTTCCATAGTTCTTTTTTGCCATCTGACAGCTGAACTGACCTACGAGTGGTGCATAGCAGCTGATATTTACTGTTACATACTATGGGTACTTCATGCAACCAATATGGTGACTGGAAACCCTCGTGACAAAGTGGGATGGTCTTCACTATGTTTCCATTTGATGTGTCCAGGATGGTTACTTCAAAATCTCTCCCCACACACGCTACACATCGGTCTGAAAATGGCTTTATATCCCTAACCTCGCTTAAATTAGGCCAACTTCGGACTATTTGTGACAACTCAAAATTCCATAGCTGAACATCTGCCCCAGGTTCAGTTTCTTTCAAAAGGACACCCTCTGACACAGGTACAAGGAAAACATCAGGTGTACGTATCACTTTCTCTGCTTTACGATCTCCACTCGACACATCCAAAGATACCACTTGGACGCCTTCAACCCCTTCAGTGGTACAATAAATGGTCTTTCCATCTAAAGCGAAGGCAATGCGACAGGGAAGAGAAAAGAAATGAGAATTCCAGGGGGGCCTCGGATAATCTTCATGTTTAAACATTGTAATTTCCCTGTTGCCAGGAAGTACCCCTAACACACTTTGTTTGTTTAACACAAAAGCAAATGCAAACGACTCAAATAAAACGCGCGAGGAAATCCTGTAAAACATAGGATCTCCCATCAAGAATCCACCTTTGCTAGATGATTCGGAATTCCATAGATCCTGGCCAAAATCATCGTCTAAAACTTTCAAGGAAAAGGTACCACAAGGCAACTTAATGACGTTTAAGGGAAAACTTAACATTCGCAACTCGTCTTTACTTAGTAGAATAGGCTGAGACAAACAAAAAAGGAATTGAATGTCAGGGGTAAACTTTATCATTCCACAGGGTTGTTTGGTGGCGACTTCTGCGAGAGTGGTGTCTAAGCAGTTCAATGCGTCAACCAAACATACCGGTCCCGAACAATGGGAAATTGCCAGAAGCGTTCCATCAGGAGACCAAGCAAAAGACAAAACATCTTCATTTCTGATGGTTCGAGTGATCTCTTCACCATTTTTTAGATTCCACATTACAAGGCATTTAGCATCGCCAGGGCAATCGGTGATAATTTTGCTCTCGTCCCCATGAACTGAACAAACAGAAAATCTGCAGTTGCTTTTTGGGAACAGAGGTTGGAGGTTTCCTTTAAACGAGTAAGCATGGCTAAGGATTCCAGGAAGAACAATGGGCTCAGTAGGGTGAAAAACAACAGAGCGATAACATGAGTAAACATCTGAGTTTGCTACCACTCTTAAGTGGTCATTAAGGTCACCGTAGAATTTCTTGACCTCAACCCGCCGTACCCACTTTTGCTCACCCGTTTTGAGTGACCAAAGGTAAATCATCCCATCAGTGCACTCGCAAACCATGAACTCCTGCTTCGGTGAAATATCAAAACAAGCAACCCTGGAGTTACAGGGAAACTCAGCCTGCGTCTTATTCAATTCCTTCAAAGCTTCCTTATGAAGGTACTCCATGTATGGTATTTCACGACTCCGTAAAATTTTCGTAGCTTCACCAGCAAAACTGTCCCCTCCCTCGTTCAGCATCACTTGAAATATTGTACTAGGATGCGTCGAAAGTCTTCGATGGTACTTTCTTAAGAGAGAAAACAACGTGCCAAGGGCTTTTCGGCTCTCACTACTCAAAGACTGAAAAGCTTCTTGTTTCTGAGTAAGGACAATGTCTTCAGAACTAGCCGTATTGTTTACACAAAGCTTTGCATACACAATGTCTAAGTCGGTGACATAGTTTTTAACGATTTCTTCAAAGCTTCTTGTACTCTCTTCCACCTCTTCCGACTCAAGCATATGATAAACACCATGCTGTAGGGCGTACCTTGCAGTGTCACTGAATTCTGTGCCGTGACCGCCTTTTCTTTTCACGTGATTCAGTTTATTAGTACAGAGCTCAGAAAGCATGAAATGACCTTGCTTTTCATCCACAGAGAAGTTGTGTTGCCCGTAGGCAGTTCTGTCTGTCAACCAGTCCTTAACTGATTTGTGGAAGAACACAATGCAGTCATCATGAACAGGTAGAAGGGTTGAGATAGAGTTGATAGCTTTTGTTACATTCCGAGGACCAGATGGGAACTTCGAGTCCGAAAGCATCATCTTAGAAACAAAGTCTAGTGGTAGCGGTTCTCTTGCAGCCGCCAGAGCACTTAGAAAAGTCAAAAACTGGTCCTCACTAATTTTCAATTCTTTCTCTAAACGTTCAAAGTAGGACTGATAAACAGACGATACACCTGAAGGTAAGGTTCTTCCTAACTCCTCGGGGGTGAGAAGTGAAAAGTTTTTCTTGATAAAATCGACCATCAAATAAGCATACAAAAAATGCCCTGCAGCCTTTCGGACCAGTGCATCGATAACGACCTCTTTAGAACCCGCTTGAATAACGCTGCTCAACTGTTTTTCAAGGAATAGTCTGATGTCTTTCACGTTTTCTTCGTTATCTTGCTTCAACTGAATAGGATTAAACTTTTTAAGACGATCTGCAATATTTACTTCAGGTCGAGTGGTAACAAGAAACCGGAACCAAACAGGAAGTTTACAAAAATGATTGGCTACGACATCTAGCAGATCATTGCGGCCTTTGTATTCACTTTCATCCAGGCCATCAATAACTAACAGCAAATTTCTCCCAGGGTCTCCTACGTGGCGTAAAGGCTCTTCGAAAAGAAATTCGAACGACTCCTGAACTTCTAGGCTGTTAATGTCCACACCCAAGTTTCTAGAAAGTTTCTTCGCAAGTTCACTTTTGTATTCTGGTAAATCATCACACAACTGACAAGCTAACGACTGCAGCATCACCTTCGGGTTTCTGTAACGTTCCTTGTTGTGCTGACAAAAGTGACTTCCTGAGAGCCGACCAGCGTGTTGCATTCTCTGACAAACGACAGCGGAGATCACTGATTTGCCCATTCCCGCATCTCCACTGATTACTATCACACGATTTTCAGATGTAAGGTCGTCTAGCCACAACCTGATCTTCTCAAAGATGAGTAAGCACGTTTCCTCCTGGTATTTCTCAGAGTGACACTGGATGACGCTCTCGGTATTAACTTTTGCTAATTTTCTCAGAACTTCATCCTCTTCAGCTTTATCTCCTCTTTCTTCAGCGTTTGCAGCCTCACGCTTTATCTGCTGCTGCGATTCTTGTTGGGTTGTCCGAACTTCCTGTAACATTTGTTGCAAATTGCCAACTGCCTGGTGTGTATCTTGAAGCGTCTGTTCCACTCTGCCAACCGTTTGTTGTGTATCTTGAAGAGTTCTGTGATCTTCCTGTTGAGTTTGGAGTACTTGTTGTTGTTTTGTAAGTAGATTTTTCAGCTGGAATTGGATCTCCTCGTCACTTTTCGTCCACTCCATAACAGCGCTGACATAGTCCTCTCCACAAGGCTCTCGCTTTAATCTGTCCACTTCAGACTGACTTAAACCAAGCGAAACAAGAACGGAACTTATTTCATGCCATTTCACATCGAACACTGGTGTTTGAATGCCAGTTGTTGTCACGTGACCATAGAGCACGTTTCGATAGTACTTCACGCGAGCAAGGTTAGCCTCAAAAGAGGTGTCACTCACGGGAGGCATTCTGTCCCAGCCTGAAAGGGGAGCATGTAGGCTGCAAATGTTCCTCAGCAAGAGGAACAGAAGAGTGATATCAAAGTTAATAGAGTTTGGTGGCCCTCCACCTGGTGGTGGAAACAGTTTGTCCCATTGACTACCATTCAGAATGTTTCTATGCCGAAGTCTAGTAAGAACGGAATGAATATGTTTAGAACTAAGATTAGCAGCCAAGTTGGCATGAGGGTGATAGTAATCGAAAATATTCCTCAGCACTGTTGTTCCGCCATCAATGAGAAGCCTGCTCAGCTTGTTTCCATTTGTCTTTTCAACAGAGCTGGCCAGGGGTGACGGTGCTGCAGTTGCCATAGAAGCCAGAAAAGGAAATATCCACCACCTTTTAAATCTGTGTAGAAAAGTGCAGTTATCTTTTTCTCATTTTTAAGGTATTTTGAAAGAACTGACTAGTTGTGTTCCTCACCAAGGTTATTAAGATATTCAGAAGGTCTCATAACATAAACATTTTAAATTGAACGGCTTTTGCATAATAGGCCTTTTTCCAAAAGTAAATAAACAAACAAACAAACAATACTCCTTGTTTTCCCTCAAAAACTTTACATAAGCATGCATTTTGCATAAGAACTATTGCAAGTACCAAGAGAAATTAAGACGGTGTGTTTATGCAAAATTTTGGAGGGAAAACAAAGTGTATTATGACTATTATATGGTAGTTTTGAATTATAAGGTTTATAATGGTGCACACTTTCATCATCATGCAAATTTGTATGTGATATTAATATATTTGGTCTTTGATCTTCATCCTTCACGAGTTTGCAACAAAATGACTAAATGACAAGCTCCACTCCCGGTTGGCTTGTAAGCTCCATTTGGGGATAAAAAATATCTTAGAAGTATAAAAAACACTTCTAACAAGTGTAAAGGGGTCATTGACAGATACCTGAGAAGAAGTTACTCTCTCGAGTTTAAAACTTGGAGGACAGTTCTACAAGCACCAATCATAGAAACTGAAAAAAAATGACAAATGTTAACTAGAATTTAGGAGGCATAAGTCAATTTTGGTAGGGATATAATAGCACTTGTAATTTCCCTAAAGATAAGTTTACTCACAGGTTGTAGCATGACTCATATGCAAATTACAAAACCTATTATATTTCATTAAATTATATGCTTAGGGAAAGTTCATTTAATATGACAAGGGGGGGGATGAAGATATTGAAACTCGAAGCTTGAAATTTTAGCAGCCCCCCTCGCTAGCGGTTCAATTTTTTAGGAGCCCCCTCCTTGGTAGTCGAAAAAATTTCAGAGCCCCCCCCCCCCTCCTTCAATTCCTTTGCTCCCCTGAAAAAAGATCGCTAGACTGTATTAAATATATTTACCGTTATTGTCTTCAATGGTTTATACTATGACAAACTTGAGATACGGTTGTGATACAATTTTCTAAAGCATTTTTGGGATGAACAAGAGTGTAATAATTACTGAGACTACATTTATTATATCTGTAAACCACGTGATATAGCTGAGTTGCACAGGTCATTAAATTGTTGAGTTGAAAACCATCTGATCTGTATGATGATGTCATGTGTTGGTTTTGAAGTATACAAATTTTCGGAGCCCCCCACTCCTAGCGCAACAATTTTTTCAGAGCCCCCCCTTCGGGTGTCTAAAAATTTTCGGAGCCCCCCCTCAATATCTTCATCCCCCCCTTGTCATATTAAATGAACTTTCCCTTACAAAAGAAAAAAAATTATACAATAAAAAAGAACATCATCCCAAGATTCCAAGATACCACACAAAACAAAATGAAAATTATTATACCATAAACAGAAATAAATTTTAAGTTTATTTACATGCTCTGAAGTCCCATTTCATCCCACTTCCTCTGCCCCCTCTCCTCTCCCTACTTCCACTACTTCTCCCCTCTCCCATGCCCTACAATTCCCCCTCCTCCCCCCAGTTACCACTTTCACTCCCACAACCCTTCTCTACCCCCCTTCTCAATTACCACCAGAGTGCCAGTATCACTAACCCTCCCTTAAACTACAAATGCCACTGCCACTCCTCCCTCCCTCCTGGTCAGACCAACAATAATATTACCCTCTCACCCTCCCTCATTTACCAATTGAGCCTACAAGTAGGTATTACAGACCCCTGTCAGTATAACAGCTGCAACTGCCACTACCGCATTGCTGACATTACATTACTACCACCACCTCAGTGTATTAGCAATCTTATAACATAATAACAATAACTGTGTTGTTTCTAATATACGATGAGAAAATTGTGCTCATTGGTGATTAAAAGAACTAGGTCACTAAAAAATAAGTACTGGAAATGCAACTATAATCCTTAGTTCTCTGTACATTGTAACACATGTATGACGCCTTGTTACGCCAAAACTCTGAGAAGCGACATGGCCTTGAACCAGTGACATAAGACTTGATTGATGAAATGGCAACAAACAGCATAATTTAAGATTACTTAAATACAGTGTAACAACAGTGACATGGTCTACTTCTCAAAACACGAAACGACCCTATTTGAAATTCTGGCCAGGGATATACATACCCCCACCCCTAATAGGGCCTCATTATGTACAACTGAAGCATCACATTATCAACATTGATTGGATGATTATTTATTAGGCCCAATATTGATGATTATTTATTAGGCACACTTGGAATTGACTACGTAACCCATTATCATTAATATCATTTGAAGCAAATTTTTCTTTCTTTTCATTAGCTGAAAGCCCTCCACATGACCTGCAAATAACTGCCTACAAATATAATGGTCTGCTCATGCACAATGTCGTCCACCTGCGTTTGGCTTTGTCGTTTAGCTGCAAATAATATTCTGCTCATGTGTAAAAGAACCAACGCTTTTCTCCTTGTGTGAAAATGGCAGATTACTTCGCTTCCCGAGGATATACCCAGGCCCGTAACCAGGGGGTGCACAGGGTGCGTTCGCACACCCCCACAGGCCCCAAAGGTCCGCATTTTGATACTCAATATCCAAGTTAAGGAGTGCAGTCGGTTAAACTGAAGTTTCAAACTTAACAGTGATATTTAAGGTAGCTGCATAGATATAGCAGGGCATGCATGGGCCAGGTAAGGCTGTTGTCCCTCACACTAATGCACATATATTATCAAGTTAAAATTGTTTTGGATGAGTTGGTAAATCTGTTTGCCACTAAACACCCACAGAGGCTAGAGCTCGGGACTATTCTGAGGGATTAGTTCCACAGTATTTTGATGTATCATTTTACATCGTAAAATTACTCCTTAACTTAATTCAAGCAGTTGTATTTGACAAATGTAATATTCAGTTCTCACTGTGTACTTTGCCGTTACAATTTCTCATGTATTGCTACTTTCCTAAATAAATGGATCAGACAATAAAAAATACATTTCGGTAGTTTGGTCCACTTTGGCCTCGTTAGCACCCCCCCACATAAAATCGCGGTTACGGGCCTGATACCCATTGATCAAATGATAAAACAATAACTCAACTCAGTTATCGCAAAATATCGTGATTTGTCGCTTTCTAGTCTGTGTACAGAACCCCCCTCCCATCAAGAAAAACCAAAGAAGAGGCGTCTGTGATTCACCGTCGCTAATCGTGTATGGGAATAATTTTACATTAAAATAAAAAATAGTTTCTGCTGACCAAAAATTCTGAGGCTCATGTTTCATGTCATTCCAGTTCTCAAAACGTTGGTGCATGTCACCAACTTTATTTTCATCGAGCAACTGAGAGAGAGAGAGATTTTTAAAATTGGTTTACTCTATACCGAGCAAGAAAAATGTTCTTGCAAGCCCATATTATTGAAGGAAAAGATTCCTGATCTTATGCAAGCCTCCCCACTGGATATGGAAAGTCATTAGTTTGAAATAAAGTGCTGACAGGTAAGACGCGACTCATAAGCTCATGATAGTGTGAAACACGACCTAAGTGTTAGCTTGAGTAACAGAGGTTTTCCTTAGAACTAATTTCCGGCACACAGATTATGCATCGTAGTGCATGGAGTACCATAAATGTTGACTGAACAAATCCTATTTGTGCCTTTGATTCTGGCAGTTAGAGGTCATGAAGCTGGTATAACTCATGCATATTGATTTATTATTTCCTGTGGTTTTATGTTACTGAAGGTGTTTGTGACAGGATTTGTCAGATCTCGGATGCCGTTTATATTAAAACCGATTTTTCTTTTACCTCTTTGAAGCCTAAAGCTTTTTAGTACCGCTAAAGAACCTTTCAGTAAAGATATTTTCAGTTTCTTTTCTTTTCTTTTCTCTGGCAAAATCCTTGGATCTCAAAAGCTACATGCATGTAGTTGTCTTTGAATGTGAAGATTTTCTGGTTGCCTGCTATGTTTTGATGACAGGCCCTAAAGCCAATCAAACTCCCTCATTTACATGATGTAGTGATCTACGAGTAACAGCCAATCAAATCATTTTGCATATATTCCAGGAACAATCACGTGGCCTCCATACAAGATTAGCAACAGTGAATCACAGACGCCCCTTCTCCGATTTTTCCTCAGGCTATCGATGTCTCGCAGATCATTATTTGCCTCAGCCGACTCGCCACTGGCAAACCACCATATTTTGCTCAACCCCTTCCGATAATTAATGATTATAACATAGCCCGCGTGCTTGTCCTATATAAGTCCTATTGAGCCGCTATGAACAAAATCTTTATTTACGCACGCCCGTGCGTAAATAAGATGACGTAAGCATTTTTTTTTACCTGGCTGCAGAGTTGTCGTCTTTTAAGCTGCAGTGCAGTTTTCCTTCTCTTTAAAATATGGAAGAAAGCAGCGAAGAACTGCCCAATTTTTCTATCGGCATTGACCTTTTAGGTCCTGATCCAACAAGCAGCAAAAATAGAGCCGAATTTAAAAAAATTCGCATGTTGCGCGTTTCGCAAATTTGTCGGAAGACCAGCTGCAGCAAATTTTGGCCGAAAGACATTCACTGGGAACAGAACAGACACCAACTGGTCATCAACAACATTAAGAGGTTAAATTGCCGTTTTTATTGTTGTTTTTAAATTTGTTATGCACTTTTGTTATCTCCGGACAATCCCACTGAAGCAGGAAGATTTCTCTCGCAATAACAACACAAATTACACAAGAAGACATAAATTTATTACTCACAAAAACAACTGCTTCCAGGTCTTCTCAAAAAGCCCTAATGACCAGCCAATGTTTGTAAATGAATGTGAGTTTAAAGAAGGATGACAGTCGTCTTCGCTAAAAACATGTTTTCTGGATTTCGCCGAGCAAACCGTAAACATCTTTTCAGCAAATCCAAACCATACTCCACGACTTCTTACGAACATGTTAG